TTTCTTTAAAGCTGCACTCTAATAATTTCAGCATAATAACAAACAATTTTTTATTTTTTTTTTAAATTTATTTTTATTTCTTCATGATATATGGATTAACTTGTGTATATTTGAATTTTTAACATCATCCCTGAAAATTCAACAATAACAAATCACAGTTTAACAAAATATACAATGAGATTAAAAATTACAATAAAAATTGAAAGAAAAAATGTTATACTTTAATATAGTCTTAGACTTTTATAGCTATATACAATATTGCACTTCTTATGGACCAAACTCTACAAAGACAGAATAAATATTGACATATAATACACATAAGGATTTCAATAACCATGATATCTGTGCTTGACATCTAATTTACAGTCTTTCTCATTATTCACTCCATTAATGAGTTAACCTTTTAAACAACACAATGCCAGTGATATTTTACTATGAATATACTGTAAATGTATTATATTTAGCATGTACGATATTTAGTGGAAAGTGATTTTTAAACAAGTTAGCGTAGATTTGATTTAGCGCATTTCTTGATATTCTTATTCATGTATCATTGTTTAAGACATTTAGCGATGTACTTGAATTCGCGGAAGCATCTTTCCGCCAAAAGTGCTAAAAAGAATACACCGCCAAATGTAATACGTTTACAGTACCTTGCATGTATCAACACATTTTCTAACATTGATAAAATTTCAAGAAATCCAAGAATTTATAATTTCCGGGGTAAATCTTTTTTAAAAATAGAATTGGGATTTAAGTGAAATAGCTTCAACACATCCATAATATTTGAGATATATATGTGGGTGTTAGAGATACTGTAGTTCACCTGTACAAACTAGATTCAGATCTGAAATGTCGAATGACATCATTTGCTCTACGAGGGATGTTCGAAAATTTGAGACATTGTGTATATTTTGCTTTCTAATGAACGTCTTACGGTGAAATTTTGCAAGTACGTTTGACATACTCTTAAGAACTAATAAAAGCACGACATATTTTACAAATATTTAATATTTTCTGTACAATGGTATATAAATACCTCAATATTAGGGGTACCCGGAGCAGTCACAAAATCAGATGTTGAAAATGTGTAACATCAAAGTTCTAACTCTTCGTGGACCCATAATAAGATCGAAAATAATTCAGTTTAAAAGTATAATTTTTCCGCTTTATTTCAAATTTATGCTGTGCAACTTTGATTGAATTTTGATCAGAAATACGGAGTTCATAAAAAAATTAAGCATGGTTAAGAAATCTGCTAACAATGTGAAATGTATTTTGACATCCAGGGTGGAGCAGCCAGCATACCTAAAATTTTAAGTAGCGCAATGCCAAACTCTTCCCCAAGATAGACACTCGCGAACTAGCTAAAACAATAACCAGAAAATAATGTGTAAGGGTTGATTCTTTCATTGATATACATTTTTTTCAATTAATTTAACCAGATTAAAGTTATAGCGGCTCTGCATTTAACTATGCGTTGTTACGCAACGGCAATCAAACCCTCGTTACGGTATTAAAACCGCTATGTATAAATTGGCACTGGCAATGACTCAAGTCACTCTTTCAAACAAATGAAATTTTTATTGGGGTAGCAACAACATTTAAGGAATGACTCTAATTCTTGGGTCAGTTATCGAGTATGAAGCGGATTATCAGTTTACGCTTTATAATCCGCAAAGCGGATTATAAACAAAGAATTAGAGTCATTCCTTATAATTTAATTTTAAAATAATTAAACAACTGGGGATGTAAAATTGTGTTGTTTTTATTAGTTCAAATTTACCGCGCAATAATACAACCGTAGTAACGGAAGTGATGGGAAGCAAGGGGAGGTAAAAACTGATACATAGATCTAGCAGCCATGATGCTTGTTCACATGAGGTACATGATCGAGCAACTGTTTGAAGTTAAAGGTACATTCATTAAATCTGGAATTTTTCATGAATCCGAAAGACTGGAAATGAGGGGATTGATGGATACAGATTATTCAGCTGGTTGTCAAGGGGTGTGTCCCCATACCAAACCAGATTATACAAAATGTTATGCGTTCCTTTTTGGAAATCAACCAATGAGAGACAAGAATACAAACAGAATTAAATTATTTACTTTTAAAGTATAGTTTAAGGAAAAAAAAATTGTTTGATTTTTGTGATGTTATATGTAATATTAAGAGTATTAAACACATCCCAATTCTTTCACATGCTAAACATCTCCGGCTGGCGTAACGTTATATGACGTGGCGATGCTGCTCAGGGTCGAAAGACATATGCATGTTTATTATTTCACCGAAACTTATCTAATTATCATAGAAATAAGAAATTTTGTGTAATTGTTTTACTCGTTCTCTATAAAATGTTGATGAATTTTCATAAAATTATCTACATTATTTATGGAGTAAATGTAATTGTCTCATTAATTTCCGAACAACCCTCGTATTTGACAGTTACATACACAGCACTCTTTAAAGGCTAAACAGGTAGCTACTGTTATAAGCTTGATGAATACGTACATATCTTTAAATAATAAAAACTTATTATGTTAAGGTTGACCTTGTGACAACCTCAGCAATCAGGTCATCTACTCCTTAACAAAGTTCGATGTGCAAAGGATTCAAAAGCTATGGATAAGTACCGGGTAATATCTATTTCTATATGTTTATTTTGACCCTTGGACTTGGACAGTGAACTAAAAAATTTATAGTTCATTTATGTCTTACTTATTTTACAGCATTTTACAGTTTCAAACATTGTGACCCAAGAATAGAATCAAATTTAAAACTAGAACTGTCCAATAGGGACAAATACCCCCCGCTGGGTTTTTCAGAGAAGGTGCCAATTCAAAAATACTTTATAGATCTAGAGGTGTTCACAATTTACTTACAAAAATTGGCAGTGAAATATAACTGCTCATCATGTTTCTTAATGAATGAAACAAAGGTACAACCAAATGAAACATCAATACTAATACATTGTAATTCCATTGTAACATTATTTTTTTTTTTTATTTTTTTTATTTCTGCATTAAAATATATTGCAATTATGTGTTATGTCACTCTGCAAACGGATTGTTGAAAAAAAATAATATTATACAAAATCAAATTAATTTTGATAACTTTACATCAAATTCATTTGAAAGTAAAGAGCTGGTCATCCAGTAATGAAGTGCTTTGACAGACAATAAATTACAATTAAGAGAATAAGAGAAGAGAGATCTTTTAATTCTTGTGCCTGATTCCCAGGAGATTACACATGGTTGATAATGAGATGCCTTAATGTTCAACTTCCCACACCAAACTCATTAATTTATCTTTAACTGGATGCATGTCCAGTCATTATTCCCAAGAGATAAATAAAATTACATTATCTTCTGTGCAATGTAAAAACTGTTTTTAACACTTGATGATGTTTCTTTTTTTTAAAGTTTATACAAGTTGTTTTAAGCTGTAGTATTTTTGTACAGATATTCTAGATTCTATGTCTCAAACCTTATACATGAGCCCAAAATAAACAAGTCAATTAAAATAAAAAATAAAACCTGTAAAATGCAAAAAAATGAACAAAAAGAGTTGAAAATTCCAATTGCACACCTTCATATGGTGAATAATAAGTGTACAAATTTTCAAATTAATCCTTGCAATAGTTTCTGAGAAACGGTCCGGACAAAACCACAAAATAAAAATGAATGAAGACTCTGTTAAATTCAAAATAATAATCGAATCAAGATGAAAATTTCAGGTGCACAACTTCATATGGTGAATAATATTTGTACAAATTTTCAGACAAATCCTTCCAATAGTTTCTGAGTAATGGTCCGGACAAAAATCTCGTCTACAGACAGACGGACAGACAGACAGACGGACAGACGGACAGACGGACATGGTGATTCAATACACCCCCCTAAACTTCGTTTGCGGGGGTATAATAAAAGGCTGCCTCCAAAGTTCTCTGATTGACATAAAAGTAGACTGAATGAGATGTAAGCATTTTAAGCAAAGGTAATCTCACAGGGAATCGAACATTTCATTTTCTGGAGAATGCTGCTGTTTCTCATCACCATGAGATGACCTCTGATGACCTTGAAGTGACCCCGAGTTAACTAAAGGTGACCCCTGATTCTCCTCAGTAATGTCTTCGTTGGAGCATTGGACATTGTCCACAAGTGAATTGTTGCTCCCACGTAGTTGTAACACGGATTTATTATATAGCACATTTTCCAGAGATTTACTCCACTTCCCCTCCTGCCAGCCCCTTACAAACAAAGCCCGCCTTTTGGTGTCAAACTCCAAATCTTTAGCAATTCTCCCAAACTCCCTGTCCCATAAAAGTACACACCCACATTCATCATCTACAACAGACACGTTTTACTAATTGAAATTTTAGTTTTTAGAACTGTAAATATATTAAGATTTTTAAAACAAGATCTCTTCATAGTATACCTCTGTCATTAGTTGTTTTATCCCCCGAGTTGTCATTAAAACCAAAGCCCCCACTGAGAACACCAGAAAATCTCTCCTTGTCAGGCTTGTTACCTGTAAGCAGACAAAAGATTGTTTGCAAACTGCACTTCTCTAGACAAAGCACCTGTCATTTGAAAAATTAGAAATCTGAGAATCCTGTTAAAATTCAAATATACATCTCTTAACAAAGACAACTATATACATGTCTCGCAGTGGCAAATACAGATCACTAATTTTTCAAATTATTCAATTTCTAATATCTCATTTGTTCCTCCTTTTCTATTAATTTATAAAAAATTAACTAGCAATTTAATTCAGTTCTGAAATACTAAACAGTAAAGTGTTAAATGAATTGTTGTACACTTACTTTTGAACATGTAGGATTTCAGTGCACGTACAGGGCCGCGGTACCTATGACAAGAGGTGATGGATTTCCCCGATTTACCATCCATCAGTATTATTCTGCCATCTCCAGTCCCCGCCCACAATATCCCATGATTCAAATCTCTAATTCCATGATTTTCTTGTAAAGCAAGGGAGGTAAGCCTACACTGTGTTGGCTTCAGTCTATCCAAAAAATACAAGGCAATTATATAAAGGGCAAATGTGATTCATTGTCTGCGCTCAAGGTATAAAGTACACGCCTCCTAACCGCAAGCTTTACGACTGGAACTTTCTTCTGATCCTTGATTGGTTGCTGGTGCAACAGACTATTTCCTTGTCAATGTTGATAATATGAGTTGACCAATCATGTGAATTGTTTACACTGGATGCATCTGACGAAAAAGATCGTGACGTGATGCAAAACTTCATAAGTTCAGAATAAAGTTGCTTTTGTAACATGTAAGAACAATAGGCCTTTAATGAAATTGATATTTGTAGAAGTAAATATTCCTTATAACTTCCACTATAATGCGGGACTTTGAAGTATTTTGTCATGCTATAAGCCTGTGTAATATACTGTCAGTAGAATCTGAAAGATAGTTTTAGGAATAGTTCTGTATGCAGTTAAAAAAAATGAATTTCACCCGCGGGATTTCAGTTAGTAATTTTTAAAGGTAAGGATTTATTTTTGACATCATTGACAGCTGCTTATTCAAAAAAAGAAACTCCTTTGTCCTTTTCAAAATTATTTTTCTAAAAAAAAATATAATTGTACAAAATACATGTACATAAGTGCTCTAAAGGTAAAGTTATAAATAACATATAAACAATATATTTATGTAGATTTTGGAGATCAGGTCTTTCAAAATTACGAATATCCATGGGTACCAACTGCAATCCATATTCGCAGACCTCCCCCCATACACCCCCGCAAGCTTGACATTAAGGAAACCACAGATCTGACATATACCTCATATGTCTTTCAGTTGACATCTACAGTGAATGTCTATAATTTTAAGTTGGAACCAGTTACCTGGTTGCATGTCAAGTAAATTCGTTCTAAAGAGAATATATAGAACCAAAAATATCTTCCCAGGTCTAGAATATTTTTCATCTTTGTCTCCTCATAGTCAATAAGGGTCGTCTACTCTTCAGGGGAAAAACGTGTACCAAGTTTCAATCTAACCAAGCAAAGGGCTTTTAAGATTTTGAATGACAAAATTTGTATACCTACATTCAACCCAACAAGTCAAAACAATTCATATATCGCCTTTCATTAATTTAAAAGGGTGCTAGAAAATAGATACCACTTGCTGGAAAAGGAAGAGATACAGAGCAAAATTAACAAAGAATCTTAAAATATTACTTGAATAAAAAAATGTGTGAATGAAGAGAACAATATTTCTGAGAGCCATAGTTGTATAATATTTTTATTGATATCATCATCTTCACGCCCCCTAGTTGTAAGAATATATAGAGTAATCCGGATTATAGTCATGAAATATATATAACATCAGCTGTTCTGGCGTATTTGTGCATAATCAGACACCACGTGTCCTACACCATCAAGTCACTGACACACATATTGATGATATTCTAATACGATCTCTTACAATATCCTGGTTTGAATGAAAACCCTCTCACGTATTGTTTATATATATTTAAAGGCTAATTTTAAAGATATGACATCATTTCAGATTTCATCATTGAGATTCTATGGGATAGTTGTAGTTGTTCTTCAGCATGTTCCTGTCATTGATGGTTCTGCTCTTGGCTTCATGGCTCTCAGTTACTCAATGTCAGGACAGGGGTGAGTTGTACATATAATCTGTATATTATTAGATCAAGACATTTGTGACCACTATTTACTCTTTAAGGTATGTCACTCGTGGAATTAGTTATATAAGGCTTTTTGAGAAGTACATGTATTTTAGAAAAGTACGCATATTGCATGATTCAAAACAAGAGGCCCAGGGGCCACATCGCTCACGTGAGCACATCGGCTAGGAAAAAATCACACATCAGATCAGAACTAAAAGTTTACTGAGATGAGGGGGGGGGGCTTGAATTTTAATACTAGTATTTTGAATTTATTTCCCCATTGTTTCCCTCCCTACCCCAAAAGGGCCATGATTTGAATTTTATATCTTCAATAAATGAGGATGCATACATGTCAATATGACTAAACATAGCTTTTTCTGTTCTTGGGATTTTCCCTTTATTTTTCTATGTAAAACTTTGATCCATCATTGTGGCCCCACCCTACCCTTGGGGGTTATGATTTTTACAAATTTAATTCTACACTACCTGAGGATGATTCCGTATAAATATCACTAATCATGGCTTTGAAGTATTTAAAAAAAAAAGATTTTAAAGGTTTTACCTATATATTTCTATCTAAAACTTTGATCGGCCATTTTGACCCCACCCTACCCCCCAGGGGTCATGATTTGAGCAAACTTGAATCTACACTACCTGTTTCCCCCTGAACAGGTTTTACTTCTTCCTGCACAGTGGTCTGAGAAGAAGATTTTTAAAACATGCCACCAAATTTTCATTAATTCCCAATTATCTCCCCTTGAATGAGGGCGTGGCCATTCATTTGAACAAACTTGAATCCCCTTTACCCAAGGATACTTTGTGGCAAGTTTGGTTGAAATTAGCGGTTCTTGAGAAGAAGTCGAAAATGTGAAAAGTTTAATACAGACGGACAGACAGACAGACAGACGCCGGACAAAATGTGATCAGAAAAGCCTACTTGAGCCTTTGGCTCAGGTGAGCTAAAAGTCTTACTTAATCTGACTACAAAACTAACAAGTGCAAGATAACAAATGTAGCTATTCCCCAAAACACATGGCCTTCTCTATTAATTAAGTTCATTTTGTATGTTAACTGTATATTAAGAGTTTAAAAGTACAGAGACACAAGCTCATTCTCAATATACATTTTTTCATAATCTATCAGGATTAAACAAGTAAGGAATAAAATAAATAATACACTGTTAAACCTTGACCTCTGGTGTTTGGCCCATTAGCCCCCCCCCTTTTTTTTATCTTGACCTCTGGAGTTTGATCCTTTAAATCTCCCTTACTTTGACCTCTGTTGTTCAGTACAATTAATCCCCCTTACCTTGACCTCTGGAGTTTGGTCCATTAAGTCCAGTCTAGACAGCTGTACGTAGTCACAGTCACCACTGGCCACCCACAGGTAAACCTTTCCAACGTCCTGCTCCTGGCATACAAAAATCTAAATGTCAGTTATCTTATTCTTTATTATTTCATGACTGTGCTACATTTCAGAAAAATGCACCAATTTTTTGTGGCAGATGTTGTGTATACATGTATCTAAAAATTTCAAAGACCTTAGTGAAAAGAGGTAGATACTCATTATGCGTCTTAAAAAATGATTGAGTGCAACTTTTCTGCTGAATACTAGACCTACCTGTATTGTGAAACACTCTACAGTTGTGCCTTTAGATATTGGGATGACTCTCTTAAACCTAAAATTTCTGGATCCTTTAGCCTCTCCCAAACTTGGTGTGACTAAAATATCAATAAATTAGAAGTCTAGTTAATTAAGTTCAGAATATTTCAGAATTCTTAGGCCAAAAAAAATTAATGAATAGTTTCTCAGGCCAAAAAATTCAAAATTCAATGCAGCAGGCAGACTTTTTTTTTTTTTTTTTTTTTGAAGCAGGTTTGACATTTTTTAAGCCATTTGTTCAATAAAATGATAATACAGCCTACTCCTGATATATTGAAATTCAGGGGACCATGCAAATTATTTCAATATATCCATAATTCAATATAAGCGAAATCAAGACGCCGCCATTTTATAAGTTCAATCCCGATATAAAATAAAATAGAACAAACCCGAACAAATTAATTTTGTCATCGTTTATCTATAACAATAAACAGATTACATAGAATATGAGTCTTTGAAAGTTTAATTTTTTTTTTATTTCTGTTTCATTGAAAAGACAATCTGCAACCTCATTATTATTCCCCGATCGCATTTATTAACGTTTTGGAGAAAAATTCACCGGACTTAAACGGTTGAGTACTGCTGAACGCTGCTTGTATTTCATCGCAAGTGTACTCGGGTTAATCCCTTAGTTATTTCGAATTTAGGCATATACCAATAGCCATTAACAGTACGTATTTAATTTCAAAGTTATGTTTTTTTCCTAGATCTGTGGGGGTTACTATATTACATTTAGCTGTTTAGTCTCGATATGTCCAGTATTATATACGTGGATACAAAGAATTTAACAGAGAAGAATTTTATTTCGAAGAGCATGCAGTATAAAAACAGATAAGGTGAAAACTTAATTATTCACACCTGTGTATATCAACTGGTCAATCGGGCATAATTACTGTCACCAACAGTAACGACAGCCACTAGGGAGTACTTCAATATAACCGTTATGAAAACAACTCATTATCACCTGTGGGGGACCGATTAGTGGCTTCAATATAAGCGAAATTTCAATATATCCGATTTCAAAATAACCGTTATTTTAATGCAAAGAATATGAGAGGCAAAAACTGGGGATTTATTTCTATTTCAATATAAGCGGAATTTCAAAATAAGCGAGTTCAATATAAGTGGAGTAAGCTGTATCTACTAATTCTTAATTTTTTTTTCTGATATTAGTTAAAATATGTATTTAACTTTAAATAATGTTATTCCAAACATTTATCAAAAAGCTAATTCATGAAATACTGTAAATTTAGAAGAAAATGTATTGTATTTCTAATAAAAACATCTATCTTTGCATTTATGAAAAGGGGAATAACTCGGTTTTCTTTTTCAACTTGGAAAAATTGAAAATTGAGTTATTTCCCTTTTCAATGTGTCAATAAAATTTATCAATGCGGCCGTTTTTGAACTGATGCGGTGGTGCCTGAGAAACTATTTATTAATTTTTTTGGCCTTACAGGAGATTTTTTTGCAAATACATTAGTTTCATAATGACTGAAGTTTAGGGCTTTGTTTCACAGTATGATATAATGTGGATCAATAAAGTTTGTAACAATGCCTTATACTATAGAAAAATTGTGGATCAGAGGTAGCATCCAAATCAAGACTGGTGAGTTCATTCCTAGATGCATCATCAATGCAAGTTTGATCAACATTGGGCATACAGTTTCTTGGCGATGGACTTGCTTCAAAAACATCAAATTTTGAAAAATGTTGGTCAGATCCAGCATCTGAAGCAAGTCTGCATGAATAATTGACTGCCATAGAACTACAAACTATTGCAGAATAAGTATGACTTACTGTTGGTCTTTTGTCTGGAGATTGATTCATACAGCTGGTAATTATTGTCTGCATGTCTGGCCAAGGCTGACACCCCTTCTGTGTTATGGGTGGGGCCAGATGTCCCTAAAAACAAGCATTTACATGTCAATGTATATGAAAGACAAACAGTTCCTGTATAGTAAATATTGTCTGTAAAAAGAAACTTAAACTATTTTCATTAATTTTAATACCTCAGCAATGACTCTGTCCATCTCTGTTTTGTAGTCGTAGTCATCAAATGGGTGGCGGCCTCCACTCACCAGAGCATACAAGGTTATACCAAGGGAGAAGACATCAGCCTAGAGGATTGTAACATGTAATTGTACCATCAGTTTATTACTTTTTAACATAAATGTTTTAATCAGTTATGGAATTAACTCTTTCCTTGAACTTAAACAACCCTTAAATAAATTCAATCGAAAATCTAAAATCAAATTTTAAGTCTTATCAACTGACTTGAAGCCCAATCATATTTTCCCCTAAAATGGTGTCAAATTAACTGATAATATAACCTATGATCCTGTACCTTAAATGAGTAGGTCTCCCCCCTGATGACCTCTGGAGCCCTGTAAGCAGGTGTCCCCTCCTGAGCTGTCAGACCATCAGGTGTAGAAAACCGAGAAATCCCATAGTCCGATATCTTAGCATTCACCTATCAATAAATAAAAGTCACATTTTACAGGAAATTCCTGTCTGATATCTTAGTATTAACATAGAGAATTCTAGTAATAGAGTTGCTGAATTTGACAAGGAAAACAAAATGTGTTTGTGAATCAACATGCGCCTGGCGGCTATTTTTAGCATATAGATCACAGTAAAGGTCACAAGGCCTTGATTTTGAAATTGAAAGAGCTAAATTAGTGGAGTATGCATACCAAATATAAAGTCGCTATCTATGGTTCAAAAGTTATGGCAAAGATTAAAGTCTACAGGCAGACAGGACAAAAAGAATATGCACCCCCATCTACTGCTCCAGGCGCATAAAACTCAAGTTTCACATCTGACAGAAAGAGACTGTAGATAAGTACTTACCACATCTGACAGTGAGAGACTGTAGATAAGTACTTACCACTTCTGACAGTGAGAGACTGTAGATAAGTACTTACCGCTTCTGACAGTGAGAGACTGTGGATAAGTACTTACCACTTCTGATAGTGAAAGACTGTAGATAAGTACTACATACAGGGTATTTTCGCCACGTGTAATTTTCGCCCTTTAACACTTGCAAACAATTTTGCCCCGTTTTAAATTCTCCCAGCCACAGTTTTAAATAAGAAATTATACTGTGTTCTTTGAATTCGCACTTTTTAAATTCGCCCAATTGAGAGTTGGGCGAAAGGAGCGAAAATAAAACAGGTGTGAAAATTTCCCTGTATACAGTACTTACCATTCTGACAGTGAAAGACTGTAGATAAGTACTTACCACTTCTGACAGAAAGAGACTGTATAAGTACTTACCACTTCTTACAGTGAGAGACTGTAGATAAGTACTTACCACTTCTGACAGTGAAAGACTGTAGATAAGTACTTACCACTTCTGATAATGAGAGACTGTGGATAAGTACTTACCACTTCTTACAGTGAGAGACTGTGGATAAGTACTTACCACTTCTGACAGTGAGAGACTGTAGATAAGTACTTACCACTTCTGACAGTGAAAGACTAGTTAAGTACTTACCACTTCTGACAGTGAAAGACTGTAGATAAGTACTTACCACTTCTGACAGTGAAAAACTGTAGATAAGTACTTACCACTTCTGACAGTGAGAGATTGTGGAAGTACTTACCACTTCTGACAGTGAAAGACTGTAGATTAGTACATTGTCTGGCTTCATGTCTCGGTAAACAATCAACATCTTGTGGAGGTAAGCCAAGCCCTCTGATACCTGAAAACAATGGACTCGGTCTAATCAAGAGTCAATCAACATTAAACTGAAAATAATACATTTATCTGCAGGTCTCTTTTCCATAGAAACTCTATTTCCTCCCAAATCAAAGAGGTCACTTTATATCATTAAAATTATCAAAAACAAGAGGCCCAAGGGCCTTGAATCACTCTTCTGATAAACTATCACTTCTATTAGTAAGCCTCCAACTCTATTAGAATCATAGGACCTAAAATGCATCAACGTACAAAGTTTGATAATATTTAGCCAGTTAAGACTAAAGATATTATAATATAATTATACAATACCATAAGTAGGTCACAGTGACCTACCTTTTGATTGAAATTTTCTGAGGACTCAAATAATATTAATTGACAAAGACTGATGATTCTAATTAAATAAGTACCTGAGATATTCAGTAGGTCACCATGACCTACTTTTTGGTCAACATTCTCTGAAAACCCAAGATGCATCATCTGACAAAGTTTGACGATTAAGCCAATTAATAACTTACAATAATTAAATATAGCCATCAAATGTCGAAAAGGAGGTCACTATGACCTACTTTTTGGTCGACATTATTCAAAAACCCATAATGCCTAAATTGACAAAATTTGATGATTCTAAGCCAATAAGTACCTGAGATATTCAAAATTAGGTCACCATGACCTATTTCTTGTTGGACATTCAATGAAACTCTAAATATGCTTAACTGACAAAGTTTGATAATTCTGAGCCAATAGATGTATATATAATTAAATATAGCCATAAAATGTCAAAAGTAGGTCACAGTGACCTGCTCTTTGGGCGACGTTCTTTGAAAACCCAAGGTGCCTTAACTGACAAAGTCTGATGATTCTAAGTTTATACGCAATTCAAAAGTAGGTGACATGTGCCTGATTTTTTGTTTTACATTTCTCGAAAACCCAAGATGCCTCAAACTTGATAAAGTTTGATGACTCTAAGCCAATAAGTACCAGATATAATTAAAATAAAAATAAAATATAAATCAAAAGTAGGTCATAGTGACCTACTTTTAAGGTTCACGTTCTCTGAAAACCCAAGGTGCCTAAACTGACAAAGTTTGATGATTCTAAGCTTATACGTACTTGTACATATTTAAAAATAAAGGCCACTGTGACCTATTTTTTGGTTGACAATCTCAAAAACCCAAGATGCCTCAACTGACAAAGTTTACTTATTCTCAGCCAATAAGTGCCTGAGATACTTATAAGAGCCATAAAAAATGTCAAGAATAATAAACTATGCTGACTAACATTTTGGTCCACGTTCTCCAAAAACCCAGAGATGCATCAACTGACAAAGTTTGATGATTTTAGGTCAATAAGTACCAGAGATACTTAATTATAGTCACAAAATGTCAAAAGTAGGTCACCATGACCTACTTTTTGGACGTTACTCTCCAAAAACCCAAGATGCATCAACTTACAAAGATTGATGATTCCAAGCCTATAAGTACCGGAGATACTTAAATAAAGCAATAAAATGTCAAAAGTAGGTCATCATGACCTACTTTTTGGTCATCACTCTCCGAAAACCAAATATGTATCGACTCACAAAAATTGATGATTCTAAGCCAATAAATACCTAAGATACTTAAACATAGCAATAAAATGTCAAAAGTAAGTCATCGTGACCTACATTTTGGTCGACATTTTTCAAAGACCCAAGATGCATCTACTGACCAAGTTTGATAGCCTGAAGGGTCTAAATATGCATTTTAAACAATTTGAAAACAAATGTCGGCAAATTTAAAGTAGGTCACAGTGACCTACTTTTTCATAAGTATGTTTTAAGGTCCCAAGATGCATCGAAGTACAAGATTTGATGATTCTAAACCTCCCAGTGTCTGAAATAATGGGATTTAATGTTTTTAAAAGGATAAGTCATAAAGTTCAAAAAGTAGGTCACGGTGACCTACTTTTAAGTTGACATTGTTCGAGGACCCAAGATGCATCAACTGACAAAGTTTGATGATCACAGGCCTTAAAGTGTCCAAAATATGCCATCAATTCAATTTGAAAAATCCCCACAAAGGTTCATTCTCTATAAGGCCATTTTCCGGCTACGATAAAATCTCTTTAAAATGTGATTTTATATAACTATAATCATTCTAGTTCATGATTTTGATGTTTGTTTTTCAACATCGATCATCTAAGGCACGTGATTTAGAGATAAAAAATGGCTGTCAGTTAAAGAAAAATTGAGGGTAGGTCTATTTAAATCAAGTTTCTATGCATGTTTTTGAATGTAAATGATCAAAAATTGTTTATTTATGTCGGAAATACATCAGACCCAAGTAATAAATTCGAAGATTTTTTAAATTTAAGGTTTAAGATATTTTTTATGACAAGAATTCTAATGCATCCACATTTTGCATATTTTGAACGTAAATCTTTACGAAATTCACACTGTATGGTGCTGAAAAAAAGTTTGATTTGCAATTTATTGGAAAGTATTATATCATATATAATTATATTGTAATTGTATATCATTTCTATAGACGTGGTACTAATTTTACGCATAAAATAACCATGTTAGAAATGAGGTTTCTAAGTTTCTATTGAACTCTAAAAGTTATGTATCAAATGTTGAAAGCACTGAATGGATTTTGATTGTGATTAAATAAAATTCAAGTAGTAATTAAGAAAAGAAATTCAACAATTGCAAAAAAATAAAGAATTAACAGCATAAGAATATCAATGCAAATATATGTTGACTATCCATATACATGTAAATAGTCAATACATATAACTCAGACGGTTGCATTAAAATATACATCTCTAAGTAAAATGAAATAAGCTTTCATTCAATTACTCGTGCTGCACGATATATTCAATTAAAAATGCCTTCTAAACTTTATGTATTTACATGTATAAAATTTGAGACCCCCCCCCCCCTTGTCTAACGACACAACATAAAATGGAGCAGAATTTTAACAGTTCCTTCAACTATGCATATAAGGTTCTGAAGTTTTCGTATATACAAATATACGGACTTAAGGGTTCTACAACATCCCAGGTTGAAAATGGACCCTAAGGGTTTAATGCTCCTTTCGCACTCTTGAAACCTGTAGGTTAAATTCAGTCTCTTTCCCAGTGCAGCATCAAAAACTTGTTTAACACGGATAGTGACAGTTCCCTACATAAGTCTATAGCATTTAAAGTAAATGTCATCGGTCTTTTGGATATTATCTTTTTTTTTACTAAAATGGGTCCCGTCCTGCGTTGTGCGGTGGTTATTAATGCAACTATGCATAACCACTTGACCTTAAGTGGATGATTTCTTTATCTGGTTGAAAAATCCTTAAATGGGGTATAGCAACATTCATTTTATAAATCACATAATACATTTAGGAATCCCCCTCCACTTTACCAGTTTATTTTCTAAGACAGGACTAATGTTATCGTAACTTATGTCGATGAGTCCTCTCAATATTAAGACCCAGTTAACAAAATATGGATCAAATGATACTCGTACGGAAGTGTCCATATAAAAATTTTATGTGTACCTATAGGAAAAAAGGTCAATAATACAAATAATAAATGCATGTTACCACTTCAACAAAGATTGCTTTCATCATTTCTAGAACATATACACAGTACAGTACTCATAAGGAAATACAAAGAATATTTGTAGAACTCATAACGAAGTTCAAAGAAGTAGCACATATAGATATACTAATCTATCATTATAAATTTAAAAGATAACTCATATTCACACCTTATATTCGATAAAATGTTCTTATTTCTTAATTTTTATTAGACATTTTAAAGAAACGTCTCCACTTGTAATTTCATGACATCCAGTCTTCTCAGTCCTTTGATTTTTATATTTTCAAGTAAAAAGTTCACTTTTTTTAGTAAATATGCATTGCTGATATAAACCTTAGTAAATCAACAGAATATTGTTATATAACCAAAAATTATCAAAGAAATAATCTACACAAGCTGATATCCTTCATTGTGAGTAGTTAGCTTTTTCTGCAAATATCGTAAAAATGAATTAAAAAGTTTTTATTTAGATGTCATAACCACCTTTAACCAAACTCATAATTTGGTAGTCACTTTTTATGTTTATTAGAAATTTACATGCAAATTTTGGTGTTGGTTAAAGGTGGTTATGACATGCGTAGGAGTCATCTAATACAGCCACCCTGTTGAGTTTTCCCATTACTCTAATGCTAATACGGGCCGATAGTACCTTACTTTGTGACCCTATATCATTAAAAATACTATTGTATCATTAACCAATCAATATTTTTCATTAATTTGGAACATAAGCCTAGTGATTCATGCAATTTTTAAGGGAAAAAATACTATTTACAAGAGGCCCATGGGCCTTATAGGTCACCTGAGTATCATAAAACAAGTCTCTGAACTGAGTAAAACCAAAATCATGAAGGGAGAAATATACACCTTTACCTCAGGAAACTTGAATTACAGTAGGGTTATGTAAGCTACTTGCTTCATTTTCATGTAATAATTCTGTACCACTATCATATGCCATCAATGCACGAATTTCAGATTTTTTTTCGCAGAACATTATTGAAGTATCACATAATGATGAAATGTTCTTTATTATGCAACTTATATTGCGTTTGCAGTACGAAGATGCGGGACCATGAGTAATACTGACCCTGTCCAAGTTAGAGAGTCCTTCTATCCATACTAAACAACTTTTGTCACAACTTTTGTCACAACTGTAAACTTTAAGTGTGACATTAAAATTTCAAATTCTATAGTGAAAACCTGATTTGTGGTTCTTATATACATGTATATTAATTTTTTGTTTAATTTTATTATATATACTCTGATATTAGTAATTTGTCCCTTCTTACAGTCTTTTAACATACTGTAATAAAAAATCAATCATTCACAAGAAGTCATTAGATTTATTGGAGTTCTAAATTCACTCAGTATGATGATTTTCATGTATTAAGCAATGAAATTATTAGAACATCAGATTTTGAAAAGAAA